GATCCTTTTGAATTGTCAGAAGGTCAGTAGTAGCCTAACGCTATGTCACTGCCTATTGTCATTCATCTCCCATCATCTCATCGTGTGGGCATTTTTTCATCTCATCACAAGAAGAATGGTAAGTACAGTATAATTATGATATTTGAGAGATACCACACAACTTTTTTTTTACACTGTTATAATGGTTCTATTTTATTGTTAATCTCTTACTGTGCCTAATTTATAAATTAAGCCTTATCATAGGCATGTATGTATAGGGAGAAGTATATGTAGGGTTTCATACTATTTGTAGTTGTAGGCATCCACTGTATGTGGGTGGGTGTTAGAACTTACCTACTGAAGATAAGGGGGGAGGAGACTACTATATTATCACTTCATCCATACTCTTCAGTTACCTCAATCATTACTAACATTGAGTACAATAATCTCAGATATTTTCAGTTACTCCCCTTTACCTATTTGATTTAAATAGTAAACTTTGCGCCTTTGTGCTGTCCTCCGAATAGCAGAGTAGCATTTATCTTTGTGTAAATCTTTCCTTCTTGGTTACTTTTAGCTCTGTTCCCTGAATAGTATGCTTCGTCTAAATCTTTTTGTCTTCGTGACATCCAGCCTTAATAAATTAATTGTGACCACCAAAGCATAGGGCAGTAAACTTTTCATATGAATGCCCAGATAGTAAATATTTTAGGGTTTGTGAGCCATAGGATTGGTCTCTCCTTGCAATTCTAGTTACTTGATTCTGCCTTATACACAAAAACAGCTAAGGGTAATAATAGAAAATGGGTATGGCTCTGTTCAAAGAAAACTTGATTTTTTTTTTTAATTTTTTTTTATTTATTTATGATAGTCACACACACACAGAGAGAGAGGGAGGCAGAGACACAGGCAGAGGGAGAAGCAGGCTCCATGCACCGGGAGCCCGATGTGGGATTCGATCCCGGGTCTCCAGGATCCTGCCCTGGGCCAAAGGCAGGCGCTAAACCACTGCGCCACCCCAGGGATCCCAGAAAACTTGATTTGTAAAAACAGGCAATGGGTAGATAACAGTTTATCGACCTGCTTATATCATACCTCATACTTTAATAGCACCAAGCTTTGTTCATGCTGATGCTTCTATCTAGAAAAGCTGTTTCTTCTACTAAGCTTGCAGAAGCAGAGCCTTTCTGGTTTCACATCTGTATCTCTAGCCCCTAACTAGTACTTTTTTTTTTTTTTTTTAAGACTTTTTATTTGAGGATGGGGTTGCAGGGGTGTGTGCATGAACAGGGGGAGGGAGAAGCAGATTCCTCACTGAGCAGGAACCCTAACTCTGGGCTCCATCCCTGGACCTGGAGATCATGCTGGGGAGCCACCCCAGCACCCCTGAATAGTAGTTTTTAATCCACTTGGAATTTAGATCTTGTAGGTAATTGGACATCTACAGGGAGCATTGTGAAAGGGAGCTACATAGGAAGTCTGCTTTAGAAAATTGAATGTTAAATTTTATTTACTGATGAGGTGCCATAACTAATTGAAATTTTTTATATTTTAAAATTTGGGTGGTGGCAGTCTAAATTACAGAATTTTAACAATTGCCTACTCTGGTGTATGTATGTTTTTTTTGTTTTGTTTTGTTTTTTTACTCTGGTATATTTTAAAAGCAGAAACCTTCACTTATGTTAGCAAATTTGGTCCTGTGGCCATTTCTCAATAACTACTTGAGTAATCGGGTGCTGGGATCCAACTCTAAAAAGAACTGGAAGTAAAAGACCTTGTGGTGGGGGGCAAGGGCAGTATTAAAAGTAGAAAGATTAATTACTATATTTTGAGTTTGTATAGTTGAATGTGCCTTATTTTGTTCTGCTTCTCTTGTGTAGTTAAAACAATTACACAAAGTAACTGGTTTTGTATTTAGAATCTTGATGAAGACTTCTGGAACTTAAAAGAGGGCTAATTTCTTCTATATTCTCTATCAATAGCTTCTTTTTAGTCTTATGGTTGTTTAGGCATACCATGTAATCATCCAAACAATACTTATTTTCCCTTTCTGATCTTCAGTTGAGTTTCAAGGTAACTTGAAATTCTAATCAAGGGCATCAGGTTGTTGGGCAACCTGGGTGGCTCAGCGGTTTAGCGCTGCCTTCAGCCTAGGGTGTGATCCTGGAGACCCGGGATCGAGTCCCACGTTGGGCTCCCTGAATGGAGCCTGCTTCTCCCTCTCCCTGTGTCTGTGCTTCTTTCTCTGAGTCTCTCATGAATAAATAAATAAAATCTTTTAAAAAAAAGACATCAGGTTTTTACTAGTAACAGAATTAAACAACTGGAATGAGAGTTGCATTCATTTTTCTTTTCAGCACTTCAGATCATGTTGATTCATTTCTTGGCTAGAAGTTGGGTTGGCTCATGGCTAATTTTTTAGCCAGGTCCTACATCCCTTTCCCCTCCTCAAAAAACATAATCAAATTTACTACTCCAGAGCCCTTATTTGAGTGTAATAAAACTTTGTTACCAGAAATCATTTAAAATCTTTGTGTTTAAAACCTAAAGCTGAATGTTCTGGATTAAGCTAAGGAAAGGACACTGAGTGGTTGCAAATAGTTACTTTTGTCTTTAAAATGTGTTTATTTGCTTTTAAAGTACTATAGTTTTTACAGTGACTCTTCAGTATAGTCCTCCTGTCTCTCCTGCCAAAAAGGGAGGGGAAAGAGGCAGGTTGACAACAGTTTGTGGGGGACAACAAAAGGAAATGTTATAGCATCAATGGGCCAAAATTAAAAGTTTTGTTTTTCTCAACATACAACTAAATATGCATTTATCTTTATATTAAGTAGACTTAACAATAATGGGGCATCAAGTAATACAGACTTCAGGAATTTATTTGTTGCAAAATGTGAGTTCTGTACTTCGCTAAAAGAAAAAAATGTGTTGGATTGAAATTTTTGAAGTCAGTTCAACTAAGGAAAGCCTTACCTTTGGACTTCTTCACATAAGCCATTCTGAGGTACAGACATGTGTAAGATAACAGCTCTAATGACCATTTCAACTATTCCTAATTGTCTGAAACTAATAGAATTAGAAATTATATTAGAGTGATAGATACGAGTGTCATGGGAGGAATAGCCTTCCCGATATATATTCTTTTTCCCAGATTAGATTGATCACAATTCTCTCCCCTGCTTAGACCTAGGAGATGGGTTTTCCTGCCATTCTTTGGGTATCCAGTGATTTAAAGCCCATAGGTGGCATCCATCTAAGCTCTTAGACCAAGTGACAGCTAGTATATTATTTCTCAGTCTTTGTTTAATCAGGCAATTGTGCTAACTTGAATGCAATTTTATCTGGATAATTACTTTGATTATTTTGAATAATTAACCTATTTATTGTTCCAAACATCCAAATCTGATAAATTTTCAAAACTTAAAAGTTTTTTAGGAGTGAATTGTTCTTTTTTAAGATTTTATTTATTTTTCATGAGAGACATAGTGAGAGGCAGAGAGAGAGGGAGGCTGATGTGGGATTCGACCCCAGGATCATGCCCTGAGCCAAAGGCAGATGCTCAAACCACTGAGCCACTTTTAGGAGTGAATTTGTTGGAAATAGAGGAGAGTAGGGAGAATGTGATCTACCTACCATTCTCTACCTCCAACCACAAACATAAAGTAATAATTTGGGATTTATATACTATTAGGCCTAGGGAGAGATTATGTTGTACTTTAACTGTAACCCACGTCCAGATATATCCTATCTTCATGAGTTCTAGTTTTACTTATCTTTTAATTAGAATTAGCTGCTGGTAAACTATATGAAATACAGTTACACAAAATCCAGTTATACAGAATAAAGGTACATTTTTGTCTTTTCAGAATGGCAGTTGGATGGCCATGGGAAGAGCACTTACTCTCAGTCCTAGTTATAGTTCATTCCTGTTACTGTGTAGTCTTTGTTTACATTGTAAACCTAGTGGAGTATTTCCTTTCAAAGTATTGTAGTTCCTATTTCCTGTTCTTTGGTTCTTGTGGTATGGTGGTCATCTACTGTCTTATTCATCAAACCTTCAAATAAGCCCTCTGTACAGCTTTCTGGAATGCTTCCAGATAGAATTTTTTTTGCCTTTTCTCTGTATGTCACTATAGTTTGGTCTTGCACATATTTTCTTTACTGTAAGATATCAAAGTAAGCACATTAGGATCACATTTGAATGGAATTGGAGCAAATGAGAAGCATGTTTACTAATAAATGGGTATGGATTGGCATTTTGACCTTATGGGTTAAAAATATAGAGTAGGTGTAGTTTGAAGAGGTGTAGTTTGAAGAACAGAACCACTTGCCTATAGCAAAGAGTTAAGTAAAATTTTAATAAGGCATTTTAAGCATCATGCTTAATCAAATTTGAATGCTTCATTCAGAAAATTTAGGGTTATAACCCATGGGTTATGATGGGTTGCCAAAAAATACTATTAAAATGTTTTTAATAACAATGAGCTGTTACAAGAAATATTTAATCTATAGCATGCTTCAGCATATCTTTGCTATTTTAATAGAATTGCTCTTCTGGTAGTTTGATTTCAGATAATAGTTGACTTTGTATAACCAATTTAAGGCAATCTGAAAGACATTTCTTAAGAATTCCAAGAGATTAATTAAGAGTCACCACTCAATCTTTATCTAAGATTTAGTAGAACTGTGCTATTTCAACCCTACCTTCAGGCCAGCAATAACCAGTCTAGATTTTTTAGGTTTTTCTTTTTTTTTTTTTTTTTAAGGTTTTATTTATTTATTCATGAGAGACAGAGAGAGAGGTACAGAGACACAGGCAGAGGGAGAAGCAGGCCCCATGCTGGGAGCCCAACATGGGACTCAATTCCGGGTCTCCAGGATCAGGCCCTGGGCTGAAGGCGGCGCTAAACCGCTGAGCCTCCGGGCCTGCCCGATTTTTTTAGGTTTAAAGTGAAAAGTGTAGCTTTAAATTTTGCTCTGTAAAACTTAGCATATAAAATAATTTTTCTTTTCCTTTGCAGAAATGGAATCTGTTTGGAATTTGCAGAAGCAAGGTAAGAATGGTTAGGTTACCTAAAATGTTAGTACTAATGACTAGTGTATGTTTGGGTGGGAATAATCTAGTGTTATTTCACTAAGTGACTAGGCTTTGTATTTTGAATTATTTAATAAATGCAGTTAAAAGACATGGCTGCTATACCAGGATTGCTAAGGATGGAGTAACACTGTAAGTGAAAAGAGTATATGAAAATAGTCTTCACCTACTAGGTGAAGAACATGAATTTTTTCCCATCTGATGATGAAAGTAAGACAGAACATAAATACTCTTAATATAGGAAACCAGCATAAATGTTTCCACTTATAGTCAGTCTTTATCTGTATTTGTGGTAGACAAGTGGTAGCCTGAACTGAAATAGTTCAGAAAAATATTAGCTGGTTTTTTTTATTAATTAGCTGTTTTAGACTAGCCTCATTTGTGCTTCAAAGTAATAGATGGTTAAAAATCTAAAGAAGAGCAAAGTAGCTTCCTTCACGAACCACATGTATAAGATGTGAATAGTAGGAAGGCAGAGGGACTGAATGATCCACATCTGAATTTTTAAGAATTTTCAAAAAATTTAAATTGCTTATCCTAATTATTGTGTGTTTTTCCAAATATATTAAAATGCAGTAGCTGTGGAATACCCGAAATAAAGTTAAGTGTCAGTCTCGAGAACTAGTCACTAATAGAATTGGGCTTTTAGAATCTTGACTGAATTGCATCCATTTCCATCCACTTTGCTAGCTAATACAAGTGAGAGAGGTCACTATGTAGCTAGCAAGTGGCAAAATTAAATGTAGGTTTCCTTGGGGGCGCCTGGCTGGCTCACTTGGAAGAACAGGAGACTCTTGATCTCAGGGTTGTGAATTAGAGCCCTACATAGGGTATAGAGATTACTTAAAAAATAAAATCTTTTTAAAAAAAAAAGTAGGTTTCCCTGATTTCCCAGCATTGCTCCTCCTTCCATCTCCCTTGTACTTAGGGCAGGTCTTACTTGTCCAACACAGCTGTGGTCTGAAGGTAACTAGCAAGATCTTATTTTGAGTTTCTTTCTGTGTGCCTTATTCAAAGGAAAATGAAAAAAAGGTAGACTAGAAAATAATATCTGCAAAAGTAGACATCCCTATATTTACTGTAAAATGGTTATTAACTATTAAGAATGAGCATTATCTTCATAGCTGGTTGTTAGAGGGTGGCTATTGTAGTCTTAGAAAGGATATTATCTCTGCACTAAATTAGATTGACTCAGGCTGAGGTGAGCTTGAGATCTTTATTACTATTTTTAGGCCTTTATACTTTTCCATTAAGTGACAAGTTTTATTAGTTTCCTATTTTTTATTAAAAGCGTGTGCTTTTTTTTTTTTTAAGTTCTTATAGGTGGAAATGGTACATAATAAAATTACTGCCTCTTGAAGAAGGAAGCATATAGCTAAATAATTGGAATTTAGAGTAACATTGGAATCTTTATTTATACATGTTGCTGAGAATAAAGACTGGTGGTGCTATGGGAAATTTGGAGGAAGGAAGAAATATGTCATGATTAGGACTGAACTGATAGTTCTGGCCAAACTTAACCTGAAGTGTTTGGTGCTAGATGTCACTTGAACAGTTCCTTACCAGACATTCCACACAGGTTAAATTAAATTTTGACTTCATTTTATTGAAAAGAACAAAAAAAAAAAATCCAAGTATTTGTTTTAGTATTGAATTATTGACAATTTAATAAGGCTTTTATAATTGGGAGAAACGCATAAACCCTTGACACTTGTCAACTGAACTCAACCCCTTTCTAATCCATAGGAGTTGAAGCCCTCACTGGTTAGAGAACCCTGTTCTGGAAATCCTTTGGGATGTCAAACTATTGGGTTGTGGAAAAGTAGATCATATATGTATGAATACAAAGAAGTCTTTATTTTTTAATTTTTTAGGGGTAGAGGACAGAGGAAGAGAGAGAGAATCCTAAGCATACTTCACACCCAATACAGAGCCCAACATGGAGCCCAATGCAGGGCTTGATTTCAATCCTGACATGACCTGAGACAAAATTGAGTTAGGTAGAACCTGACACTTAACTAACTGAGCCACCCAGGCGCCCCAAAGAAGTGGTCTTTCATTTGTGTTTATATAAAAGGAGGCAGCTAAAATGATGGTGGTTATTTGAGATTTGTTATTTGGAATATGGGCATTTTGGCATTCCAGATCTGTTTTATTTATGTATTTTTTAACCTTCTCCCCAGATCCCAAAAGGATAATCACTTACAATGAAGCCATGGATAGTCCAGATCAATGAAGGACCAGACTGCCTATTTGTAACCTTTCTGCAGCATTAGAGCCACCGTTCATGGGGGACACAAGGCTTTTATGCTCCTAGATCTTCAACGCAGCAGAGGAACCATAAGTAGAATCACAGGATAATATATACAAATATATATATATACATATATATATATAGTTATTTAAAAAAAAAAGGCAACTGAAAGTAATTAGACTTCTTAAGGAATCAAATTTATTTCAAGAGACTACACATGGTTATTTAATCTCCGGTACTGAATAGTTTTTTTTTCTTTTTTCTTTTGTTAATTTTTGTTTTTAAGTGTGAATGCAAGTGATTAATGAATACAGACTTATTAACAAGCGTGGTTCTAAAGTTCCTGCTGTCATCAACTTGGGCAAGAAATGACCCACTGGAAAGGCAAATCCACTTTTAAAAGATCTGTATCTTGTTCTGTGACTAAAGTGATACACTAATCACGGGGAACCCAGAATGATTCAACATTTTTCCCCCACTCCTCCCTTGATCTTTTGGTTATACTTTGAGCCCTGCGAGAATGCTGGATAAATGCCTTGAAGTTTGCAGGGATGTATTTTTTTAGGGAATATGATTTGCATGTCTTGCCAGGAGTTAAGCAGCCTCTGTGGGGTGTTGGGGAAATTCTTTCTTTTCCTTTTATTTTTTGTGGGGTGGGCTTAGGGGAGGGCATTGAAGTTCTATAATTCTGGAATAGTTGATGGTACATAAGTTCACTTGGCTTTGGTTACATGGACTTTAACAAGTGAAGAATCCATGAGTGTCATTTGAAGAAAAGTTACAGAACAAACAATTGGCTTTAGATATTTAATATGAAAAAATATTCCTTTGCCCATATTTTAATGTAATTGTATAAGTGGGAGCAAAAATATATTCTGCTTTTCAACTGTAGGTGCTCCAGACTTGCTCTCTGTCACTAACACTAAATGTGCTGTTTTCCTTGTTTTTCGTTGAACATCTAAAGAGAAACTTCTGTACCTTTCTGTAAATTATTTTAGTTTTCAGAAAATTCTAAAAGGGGAAGAAAAATTTCCATGAAAATTATAAAACTTTTCATGTTTTTAGCAGGTGAGGAGGAGGTAATAAACCCTACCTATAGAAGGTGTGTTTTCATGCAAACTATACTTCTGAGCTTATTAGCTTCTAATTCTATCTTAATAAATATATTTTATTACTAGAGCAAAATGGGTTTTTTAAGGAAAATAATGTGAAATTCTGGAAATTTTCTTTTGGGCAGAGAGGAGCATTAGCCCTGTCTTATCATCACATTGCCATCCTGTTGCACTGCAGCTTGTATATAGCATGCTAAAATAAATTTTCTTGTGTGTGTGCAGAAATTAAGGGTCCAGTTTAAGATTGAGTGATGTTAGTGGCATAAAAACAAGTTCTCTGGCCTGACATAACATCCCATCACATCTCTCTCTCTCTCTCTCTCTCTCTCTCTCTCTCTCTCTCTCTCTCTCTGACACATACACACACACACAGAAATTAGTATATCCATGTATGTCAAATACAGGTTAAAATAGCAGGGCATTTATATAGAGAGGTGTAGTCTTCTAATAAAAGTAGACTGGATCCCCTGGGGTGTTTGGAGGAGAGGGTACCTACTTCTGCTCAAACCCTTTGCTTAAGAAATGTCCAATTTTGAGTGACTGTAGTATGGATGAGTTTTCTTGTTTTGTTGATTATTTGAGACTTTTAACATGTAGTTTGTGAAAGAAGCTGTTGGACTCCACATAGAGTAGAGAAAATATCTTCAGTCTGGATTTCTGCCCTGCTTAGATTTTAAAAGTATAAGCATGGATTGCCAATTCCATTTGATGTAAACAAAACTTTTTATACATAATATATATATATATAATAACTTATTGTATCAGTCCAGGTTCAGAAACTTGTGGTAGGCCAGTTCCAGATAGTTTCATTTCACCTGTAAACTGTATCACTTTTACTGATATTGTAATTTTCAAATGTATAATATGTTTACAGATGTGCCCTGCATTTAGTCTGCCTTGTTCCTATTTTGATTTTTGTTGAGTCTCCTGCCTGCTTGCCAAAAGCTAGGATGCTTCAGGCCCATGTACAATTGAAAGCAGAGGCATCCTTGAGCTTTAAAGCATTGAACAAACTGGAAAATGCAACATACCACATACTGAAGTGAAAGAAGTCTGTGTTTTTGTGTTTTTTTTTTTAATAAAAATTTTCAAAAAGTTAAAAAAAAAGATATAAGGTTGATTAAAGGACAAAAAAGGCTCCAGTTTGTTTTATAGGTTTTAAAGTTCTGCTGTGTGTTCAATTGCCTTGTGTAACCACTTGTCGCCTTAGGGCCAGATATCCCCCTCCCCTCCTCCCCTTTTTTTTTAAACGTCCATTTTGCTTGCCTGGAATTTAAAAGCTCTTCTGTCTCACAACTCACAAGAAACTTTCTGGGTTTGTGACATAGAGGTTGAATGAATATAAATTTAAAAAGGAAAAAAACCCCAGCCCCCATCTAATTGGGCTTTTTAATTTAGAAGCAACACCTAAAAAATATCTTTAGGAATATGTTTTTCCTACTTCCCTTCCATATCCCTCAGGCCTCCATGTTTAGAGAAGCCAAAAAGAGAATGTATCCCTTAACCTGTTTGTCCAAAGGTTTTTGAGAGTTCACTTCTAAATGAAACAATGCAACATTTCACCTTGATTTTCTCCACTGAAATTTCCTTGATTATATGCTTAGAGGTATATAGTTAGGAATGTCTTTCTGGGAACGCTAGTGCCCCATCATATTATTCGTCAGTATTTTTGGGCATTGGGTTAATGGACTTCATTGCCTAGGTACAAGCAGGACTTTGGGACAAATCTCCTTTATGCTGTTTGGTAACACTTAACTCTACTTGTCGCAATCTTTCTCCTTAGGTCCTCACACAATTCCTTACAGAGCACTTATTAAAAAAAAATCTTAAGAGTTGATCTGTTTTCTGATTATTTTTGTGTAAGCTTCTAAACAAACTTCAGCTGTGATTAATTTAGCACATTTAAATAACATTAATGTGTTATTGTTTGGTATAAAGAATTTTTCTTCAACTCAGAGTATTAGTACTGTAGCATAAACCAAATACAGTCTAGAGGGGATTTTTAACATCCCTCCATTATAAAGACTGAAAAAGGAGTGTGTGTGTGTGTGTGTGTGTGTGTGTGTGTGTGTGTGTGTGTGGTGTGTATGTGTGAGGGACAGAGGGAGATAGTAAAAATTAGTAAATGAATGTGTGTAAGACTTAGTATTCAGAGAATGAACTTGTATTTATTTTGTGCCATTTGTTTTCATTACACAGAATAAAAGTCAGGTGGTTTTAATCCTTAAAAGGGTAGTATTTGAAAAATGGCACTAAGAATGAAATCATGACCTATTTTTTTAATAGCTATGAAGATACTAATTATGGGTGAAGATTTCTTTTTAAATCTGTCTTGATTGTAGGCTTCTATGTCACATACCACTCTTCTTGTAGATGTCTTGAATAATTCCTCCTTCCCCACAAAAGACAGGGTGTATTTATCTTTCTCTTTATTCACCCCCACCTTGCTGAACTGAAGTTAATTGCATAGCCTTTCCTCTGACTTTCTTAGAAATGAACTTTCACATAAAATATATATACAGCATCTGTAGTTAGCCCTTCCTCCTCCTTTCTGGGAGGGGTTAGACAATAATTAGGAATTTGTTAGTGCCAGTTTGTTTTTTCTTGGAATAAATGGCTGGAGAAATTATCTCCATTTTAGAATTTTGCTGTTCTCCTTAATCATCTGCTTACCTAGTCATTGAAAATTGCAAAAACTTGATAAAAGAAAAAAAAGTGCTGCATTGGTTTTTCAAATAAGTTTCTAGGGAAATACAGCAAATCTCATGAGTATTGTCCACAACACAAAATGTGTTTCTTTACAAAACATTACATAGCAGCAGTAGTTTCATACTTGGTTGTCAGTCTTGTTGCTAACCCAATTGGAGGCATCTAATGGTTTATCTTCTGAAAACTTTTAAACACAAAAAGCCATTTAGTGTGAAATTTTATGTCCTACCCAATGGCCACAGGCAAGGAAAACTGGAAGAGGACTTTGATTTAAAGTTGTAAGTAAGGAGGAAGTCATTCTGTCAAGGCTTTCTTCAGAGAAGTAGATGTAAAAGTCCCATTTCCAAGGATTAGGAGTATAGTTATGCCATTGGGCTATATCCTCGACACATGATCCTTGTATACCTATGCTAGCTGCAAAAGACTATAGATAGTAGGACATATTATGGGCAATTTTTATGATCACATCTGTTGATGGTGTACTAGTTGAATTAGATTCTGATTGGGCAGTGTCCTTTAATAGTCCTACCCATAATCAAACTGCTACATTTTGAAAGAGGATAGAATTTGCTCATCTTTTCTCTCCAGAGTATTGATACTTATTTAAATAAGGGGAGGGGCAGAGGGTAAGATTAGAAGTATGTTTAATAGCTGCTCTGAGTTTACAGATACATAGGTTATCTTTAGTTCTTAATACTGATGTTATTTTTATTAATGTGGCTAATCAACAGAGCACCAGGATTTTATGGTGACAAAGATGGGCTTATGCTTTGAGTATCTTAAAATCTTTCTTTTTAAATATACCTAAATCTGTTTGGCTGCGTGAGAGCCAGGACCACCTTGGGTTGGTTTAAAGAATGAAATCATTGGTTCCCCTCAAATGCACTGCTTTACTGAGTTTTAAATTTCACACTGTTTTGCTACTCATTAAGAATAAATAGAATTTTAAGTTGTCTGCATAATAGAAACACCCAGTGAAGCATGAATGGTGTGTTGCTTTTGCATTACTGGGAGTGTCCAATAGCAGTTAATAGAAACCTATGAAACAGCCATCCTCACGTGTGTTGGGATTGCTGATTCAAACTTCCCTATTTATCCACAAAATTTTGCTTATGTCCAGAGTTCTAAAGCCATTTTATAATACTGCAGTATCCCTTTTCTACAGCCTTACTAAAATAGCTACAAACATATTCCAATGCAGTATCCCTTTTCTACAGCCTTATTAAAATAGCTACAAACATTTTCCAATTCAGTTTCGCTTTTGTTGTATATCAAAGTTTTATTCTACAGACCAAGAAACCAACTTGAGGTAAATTACATAGCTTTCCATTTACCCTTTTTTCCTCAGGTGCTAAATAAAGGCTCCAAAAATGGATACTGCTTTAGTAATGTCTTTTATTCTTAAACATTTCTTTTGCTAGATGTAAAGATTTGGTGTTAACAAAAATGGTTTTAATATGTAAATATGAATGAATGCCTTTAGTTTGCCTGTTTGTCTATTAAGTCTGTTTCGTTTATCCTCAATAGAGGAGGATCCTTTCATAATCTTGAATACATTTCATTAGGAATTGTTGCATTAGGAATTTTTAGAGTGAAAATACAACTGTTTTCTGTCTTGGATTAATCCTGCTGCTGCTATGAGAAACTGAAAATCAAGAATGTGATGCACTTTTTACATTACTATATACCATACCTTTATAAGTTGCTTTGAATACCTTTACGGTAGCACAGCCACTAACAAAAGTGAATGAATTTAAAATTTTTCTTCAGGAGGGAATCCGTACAAATAAACTATTTATGGTATTGGCCTATGAAGGACAGTAACTTATGAAAATAAAAATTGTTAGTATTACACTTTTTGGCCTTAAAATGTCTTCTACTACTGAAAATCTTTTAAATCTTAGTTTTGTTTCTGTTCCCTCTCTCTGCCTCAAAAAGAGGATTTTGGAAGAATGGTTTAAAGGAAGTATCATTTGTTTGTTGCTGATTTATCTTTTAGAAAGAAAACAATTGTCTACTATATAAGTTGGGGACTTTCTTGTTTGTATACAGAGGAGAAATAATGCCATCCCGAGCCAGTCAGATTTAGTATAATCAAATCAATCAAAACTCAACTATTCTGCTTCTTTAGTGTATTTTTACTTAACAAAGATAAACTTTAGTAGGAATGCTACTTGACAAGAGGAAGTCATTTCTCAAGCACATACCCAAACTTGAAGGAGACTGAACCCAAAATAATGGAGGAAAAAACACCAAATGGGGTGGAGGAATATGAGAAAGATACGTGGTCCAAAGCTATCTGGTTATATTTTGATGTTGCCAATATTGCCAAGCCAAATTTTTAATTTGCTTATTTAATATGTTTGTTGGCCAGAGATCTATTTTTATATCAATGTGCCTTGCATGTATATTAAAAAAGTTTGGAAAGGCCATGTAGTAATGCCTAGGATAGTTAACGGTTCTTACCACCTCACTAATTTTTATGCAGTATGAAATGCTCATTCTATCGCCCAACTGGTGCTCTCTGTTTAAAGTTATAGGTCTTGTCACAAACTGGAACTATTTTATAAACTGGGGAAGTGATTTAATTTACTTTTTTTGTTTCTTTTTTTGTTCTTAATCTGTTAGTGGCTGTTCTGTAGTGGGAAATAGTAAGAGGATTCTTCGCTCCCTTACCCTACCCCCTCAGCACCTTCTTCAAGTAATGTGATGACACCATTTCTTGTGTGCTTTGAAAAAAGTTTCAGCTTGCTGTCTCCTTTAGTGTTATAAAAAAGTGTTATAAAAAGCATTGTTTGCAAATCTAGGGAGATAATGGAGTCCACTTTAATTTGGAATTCTATGTGAGCTATGATCCCAAGTTACTGGCTCTTTCCAACTTAAAAAAATATTGTTAAAGCACCTTGGCTTAGAAAATTTTAAGTATTTATGTCTGCAACAATTGTCTAAAAATAATGAACTGTGCAATTCTTGTCATTAAAAAAAGAAAAAAAAAAAAGATCTGAACTCTCCCTAATGTGACTTGTTAGTTTCTTTGTATTTCCTGCCAGTGTAAATGTGAAAAGCTTTGCTTGCATTACGTTTTAGAAATGCATTTTGCACACTCGAATTTTGCTGAAGCTCCATGAAAAGGTTAGATCTAAGTAGATGAATAAAGCTATGCACATGTTTTGAAAATTTAATTTGTGTGTCATTACCAAAAGTGACCTATCCTTATTACTTTGCTGTTTTTAGCTTTACCATCTTTAGAAACATGGCTCAAAGTAATAGTTCTAGACTAGTTCGTCAGTAGAACTAGAAGAGAGGAAAACTGGCACCTATTTTAATAAACTTCAGTTTAAATGAGAGCTGGACTTGTATCTATTAAAGGGCTTTTCTTGAAACAGGGCAGTTTTATCAGCTTTACAAACTTCTGGATGCTCTTACTTCCTCATGGAAACTTCGGTTTATTTGATCAAATAGAAATGGGAGGTAACTCAGATATGAGGGAAGGACCTTTGCCACATGGAGTTCTGTGACAATTCTGTGTTTTAAGCCTGGTTTAAAGGTAGGATCATCTTTTTCCCTTTATTGCTTTAGCATATGTTTGGTTTTACTGAATGAATGACGAGATTATAATCATTCATCTATTTAAAGATCAAAGCACAGGTTATTTTAAAGATAATGTGTATCTTTTAAAAGTTGCCCAAGTGGATTAGAATAAAATAAAGAAATTGGGCGAATTTGGTTAAATTGCTGCAGTCTGCATGTACTAAATAGCTTTACTTCACATGTATGTGTACTTAAACAATTGTGTAGATGTACTGGCCAGGTTTGTCAAGTCATCTTTTAAAAGATTGTTGTGTAATCTACTTAGGACTTTTAGAGAAGAGGCTAAATAAGTTTAAGTAGAAGATAATATTAATGGTACTTTCCCCATGCTCCTAGATCTAAAAGAAATATTTCTGATTTGTAAGTTTTTTCCAATGTGTAGAAGAGGGTTACTTCTCTATCATCAGGTGTGCTTTTGATGTATGTTCTGTTGACTTTGAAAACAGCAAAAACCCTTCTTTCTGAAAGTGACAGTCAAAAACTAAATCTAGTAGTCAAGATTGCAAAGGTAGCCCATCATGCCTGGCCTAAAAAGTAAAAAATGCAGGAGAGTAGTAGCGTCATCTTAAGTTGGCCATGGCTACTTCTCCGCGTCTGTCAGTAGTTCACTTATGTTCAGTGTTAGAACAAACATTGAAGGAGCAAAGTAATTTCTGTGTCTTGTGTGCATCAACACTTAGGAGCTGAGTTACCTCTTTTCGATCTGTGGGAAAGGATAGTTGGACTACAATTATGTTGGAGGATATTTTTCTTTCCCTCTCCCAACTAAATTTTTTTCAGTGTTTTTTTTTTTTTGTTGTTGTTTTTTTTTTTTTTTTTTTTTTTTTTTTTGCCCAGTCAAAAAGATAGGCCTTTTCTAGATAAAAGAACAGTGGCCAGAAATTTACCCTTTTGCTAATTGCTTAGATATTTGCCATAGCTGTTTCTGATGTCATGGATTCTGAGGAAGTGTCAGTTACATGATGATCTTCCTTTATTGATGTCTTACTCCATGTTCAGTGTTTTAAAAATATAAATTACAAACACTCAACATCCATACCCAGATTTACTTATTTTATCAGAAAAAAACCTTGAGAAATTTGTAGATCAAATTAAGAGACAATAAGTGTACATTGTTGAATAAAAAATTTTAAAGTTTCTGAGGTGTTTGTGTTATCTTTTGTGTGCTTTTAAAAAATATATACTGAAAACTAAGATTGTGGGGTGTACAAATTAAGTCTTAAGTGTACCATGGTCATATGTCATCGATTTAAAACAAATCATACAGATGCTTAGAATTGGCATATTTATTTTAAAATGACCTGTGAGAACAGCTATCCTATTCCTTAATGCCCATTGATCCTTAATGTTCTTCAATTGGAATAGGAAACCAAAATTAAACTAAGCAGTTAAGCAACTAGATCTAAGTTGCCAAGATTCTGAATTTGTGACTTTATGTTGAAATACATGGCAATGCATATTTGAGAAACTTCCTAAGTTTGTATAGCATTGATTTGTCACAAGTTGAAAAAAATCAGTGCTAACATCAACATGTTAGAGTAGGGAATGTGGGGAAGAGATGTAAAAACATTTACCATAAGTGTGTGTGTTTGCCACTATATAGACTGATACATTTCATATGCTTTTATGTTCTTTGAGTTCAGGAAGAATTGTCAGTTGGCCTGCTGAGTGACTTACAAGGATACAAAGGGAATTGGGGGTTTTATTGAAGCTTGTCTTTAAAAATTCTCAGCCCCATAGGTGTGATTTATAAAGTATGGTGGGGGACACCTGGGTGGCTCAGTGGTTAAGCGTCTGCCTTCAGCTCGGCATGATCCTGAAGTTCCAGGATCGAGTCCCACATTGGGCTCCCTGCGTGGAGCCTACTTCTCCCTCTGCCTATGTCTCTGCCTCTCTCTGTGTCTCTCATGAATAAATAAATAAAAATCTTAAAAAAAAAAAAAAGTATGGTGGGATGCCTGGGTGGCTCAGGTCTTGATCTCAGTCCTGAGTTCTAGCTCCATGTTGGACTCGATGCTGGGTTTGGAGCCTACTTAAAAGGGCACCTGAGTGGTACAGTTAAGCATCCAACTGTTTTTGAAGGTTGTGATCTCAGGGTCTTGATCTCAGAGTTATGAGATAGAGCCCTGTGCCGGACTGTCCACTGATCGTGGACTCTACCTAAGTTTCTCTCTCCTGCCCTTCCCCCCCCACCCCCGCACTTCTGCACTTACACTCTTTCAAATCTTTAAAAAAAAAAAATTGGGCATGTGGGTGGTTCAGTCGGTTAGGCATTGCCTTCAGCTCAGGTCATGATCTCGGGGTAGTGAAATTGAGTCCTGCGTTGGGCCCCCTGCTCAGCGGGAAGCCTGCTTTTCCTTCTCCCTATGCCCCTCCCCCCCCTTTCATGCTTTGCTCTCTTTCAAATCTCTAAAAATCAGTAAAACTGGGGTACCTGGGTGGCTTAGTGGTTGAGCATCTGCCTTTGGCTCAGGTCTTGATCCCGGGATCCTGGGACAGTCCTGCATCGAATTCCCTGCATGGAGCCTGCTTCTCCCTGTGTCTTTGTCTCTGCCTCTCTCTCTCTCTCTCTCTCTCTCTCTCTCTCTCTCTCTCTCTCTCATGAATAAAAAGTAAAACTAAAAGCGTGGTAGTTCATTCAGTCTACACAGTTTTTTTTTTTTTAATGACATTTATTGTGGATTTCAGCAGCTAACATAAAACTAGATTGCTTAGGAAGGTTCCTCTTACTTGGAGCTTTCAATCCACTACTGTTGAATACGGCGAATTGATTGAATCTGGGAAGTCTGGGCATGAGAACCCCACTCTCTCCAGTGTTTATAGTCTCCTCCATGATGGTCACATTCCAAGATATATTGATACCCGCGATATCCAGGATACTGGTAACAGACCCAGCTAGAAAATGCAAAGCACATTAGATTATTAAAACTAGTTAGGAAAGGGCTCCGTACCCTACAACCTGAGTCTCTTTCATCAACACAATTGGTATGGAATGCTTTTACGTTTAGAAAACAACAGCCATTCTAAATGTGCCAAGCACCATTTGTGAACATAATATGGCTATAGCTAGTTGAAAATTAACTTTTGATCATGAAAAAAAATGTAAAAGGGCGCCTGGGTGGCCCAGTAAGTTAAGCATCTGACTCTTGATTTTGACTCAAGTCATGATCTCAGGGTTGTGAGATGGAGCTCCGCGCTCAGTGGGAAATCTGCTTCTCTCCCTCTCCCTTTGCACCTCGCCCTACTTACGCATTCTCTTGCTCTCAATAAATCTTAAAAAAATAAAAAATTTTAAAAAAGAGTAGTCAACAAATAATTCCATAGAGAAATATTTAAGAGGGGGAAACACTGACCTTAAGTAGAAGTTGGTACCAACAACTTAAAATTTGAAAATTACTAATAACTAGAATGTGTCAGCCATACCAATATACAAATGTATGAAATCTCATAAACTATAACCATTGATGTATTAATACAAGGTTTACATTTGCCAAGGTTTACATTTGCAAGAGTTACTTTGAAATGTGCCCCATCCCTGTCTTTTGTACTTACGCCCCACATTGTATCTTCATGGAACCAACTTCATTGTTTAACCAACCCATGGCTTGCAAGGAGGGATAGTCATCACAGATCTCCCATTGGCGTCCAATGAAGTTTTCCTTCTCAAAGATGGTAATCTTAGACTCCTTATGATTCTGTAATGCAAAAAAATTTTAAATCATTTAGTACCCATGTTGATGGCTGTCATCTTAATTCTTTAATTTCTACATTTTTCAAATTAAAAAAGCTTTTGGTTTACATTTTATTTTAAGAATGTTTCAATATGGAGATATGGAGATAAAAATACTCGATCCTGTCCAATCAAATTTAATACCGTAACATTTGAAATGTACAAATAATTGATCTAATACTTTGGGGCAACAAAAATCATAGAAAATATAATAAGAGCAGGAAGAAACAGCCAACCAAGGGGGTTAATATTCACTTATGTGAGAAAAGATCACAGAAATTAATAGAAAAAGTAAGCCTGTGTGTGTATGTGTGTGTACAGTGCTGGAAATAACCTAAAGTCTGGTAGGGGATATGAATACTACACAAACATTAAGCCAGAGACTAACCTGTATGAAGTACAAAAACGCAAACCTAGCTCTCACTAGTTACCCTACTGCACTGAAGATCTGCCCTCGTAAGTATCCACTTCTGCCAATCTTTTAGCTTAATGAAAATACCTTCTAGTAGGGAAAAAATCAAAGGGCAAATTTAGAAACAGAGGGACCAATGTTCTCTCTTTTATCCTTCCTGCTGCATTTCAACGTAACTGATGAGAAGTAGCACTAAATGTCCATCCACACGCACCCTCTTTTGCACCATCCCCCCACGTGCACAGAAGTGAAAAATTCAGACTCACGGCTGAACAGATGGGGCGGAAGGACATGAGGCGCTCAATGTGGTAGGCGTTACTCCCGCTCCAGGCGTCCCAGCGAGGGTACTCTCCTCTCTCCAAGATGAACTGTTGCCCACAGAAGCTGGTATGCTCATAACCAATCCAGCTGCCAGAGACAAGCAGTGGGATTTGTTGGTGGTGTTCAGA